AGAGGCTTATTAAATATGGTTTTCTGAGGGCAAGCAGAAGGCGATTACTGGATGGCATAGGTTCTTTATCAGAAATTGGAGCTGATGTGATCTATTCAATGCTGTTTTCTGAATTAGCACCCCAAATAACCAAACTGAATCTAAAGTTGACCAAAAACTGATTCGTAACCCTTCTGTTACTAATGTTGGAGAGTGGTCCCTGGCCAAAGTGGTCCCTGGTCAAGTGGTCCCTGGTCAAAAAAGATTGGGAACCACTGCCCTAATAGCTTGTGTGCCTTCAAGTCATTTCCGAAGAACTTATTATGGGCTTTTCTTGACAAGATTTATTCAGAGGAGTTTTATTTATTTATTTATTTATTTATTTATTTGGTACGCTTGTATACCGCAATATCTCAGCCTGTGCGGCGACTCATTGCGGTTTACAACATATTAAAATATACAATTCGATAAAACATATAAGATTAAAAATTAAATGCATACAGTAACATACATAGTATTGGGCCACCAATACATTGCCTTCCTCTGAGGCTATGAAAGAGTGACTTATCCAAGGTCAAGTGGTGGTTGTCTTCTTCTCCAGAGGTTTAGCTCAACACTCAAACCATTTTATTTACAATGTATTTTGTTTCTTTCCCCTTTGCACTTTTAGGAGTTTGTCTATGAATTTCAGTGGTGAGCATTAACATAAGTTTCTTTAAAATAATAATAATAATAATAATAATAATAATAATAATAATAATAATAATAATGCTGCAATTTGCCCACTCTAGTCTTGGTAGCTTGGCTAAATGGTTGTAAAATACTGAATGAGATCAATTACTAGCAAACATAACTGACTATGAACTTAGGGCCTTTCCAGACAGACCCTATATTCCAGGATCTGATCCCAGGTTTTCTGCTTTAACCTGGATTATATGAGTCCACATTGCCAGATAATCCGGGATAAACAGAATACCTGGGATCAGATCCTAGGATATATCGCCTGTCTGGAAGGGCCCTTGCTATTATTTGGCATCCATTGAATCACTTGTTGACTGATGAACCAACACATAAATAAACCCCACTGTTTCAATGGGAGTGCTCTAGTTGTGACTAATAGTAAGTCAGGAGTATGACTTTTAACTGTTTCTTAGGCAGCAAGTAATACAGTAGGCAAAGTGAGTATATTATAAGTATATATATAGCAGCGTACACTAATTGCAATAAGATAAAAGCATTTGGTAGTATAATACATCCATTAATTCCAGAGTTGTACATAGGGCTTAAGCATTGATTTCAATTGGAGAAGCGTAAACCATGCTATGACCCCCTTTGGGGAGATAAAGCAGGATATAAATATAATAATAATAATAATAATAATAATAATAATAATAATAATAATAATAATCTCTCCCTTTGAAAAATGTGTAGAACTGAAATTGACTTTTTTGGTCAGTATTGTTTCCACATATCCTGCACAATAAACTAAGGATGTGTTTGCTACAAAATGGAAATTTATCTATAAAATGCTATGATTCTTTATATTATAAGGTCACGGCATGTTCAGACTGAGCGCAATTAATCACACTGCATCATTACAATCTGAAATGTATGTATGTGTATGGGGGATAGGGCTATGACATTCTCAGAAAAGGACTTGATTGATTTGAAATCTCACAGTGTAAGAGAGACTGCTGGGGATGATTTGTGCTGACTTTGAAGCAAAAGAGCCAAAAAAGAGGCCCATTTAATGTGAATATGAATTGTCCAAAAGGCATTGCCTGTGTCCAGTAGTTTGTTTGGGGGTTAAATTTGCCATCCGAGCTCTTTGTTTCTGCAGCATCTCTCAGGTTTGTTGTGTTAGATTCAGGAAAAGGTGTGGCCTATGCTACAGCCTAGTAATTATATAAGCTACAGGATGAGTCTGTTCTTACCATGTGCCTTTAAGTCAACCCCAGCTTTTGACGACCCAATCATATGGTTTTCCCGGGAAGATTTGTTTGGACAAGGTTTGCTATTATTTTCATCTGAAAATGATGCACACACTTGTTGTAGCTTGTATTTAAAATATGTTTCAATTTTAGATTATGGAGCTCCTAGGTCAGGTCTTCAAGTACTGTATCTTATATTGTTCATTTGATTAATACGTTCTCTCTAGGAATGATCTAGCATGACACTGTGGTCAACTTCTGTTGGAAGGTGACCATAAAGTTATGCTTAGAGGATTTTGATATTATTACAGAAAACTCATCTCTAGGCCTTTGTAGGTCCTCCAGCATGATGCTATGATCAACTAGGGGCCCTTCCACACAGCTATATAACCCATAATATCAAGGCAGATAATTCACAATATCTGCTTTGAACTGGATTATCTGAGTCCATATTGCCATATAATCCTGTTCAATCTGGATTTTATACAGCTGTGTGGAAGCCTAGGCTGACCATAGATTGGCACTGGAAGACCTAGCAAGGTTTTCTCAAGTCAAAAAGAACAAAGAAAATAGCATTTTTATTTGTAGTTTTTCCTTCAAAAGCAGTAGTTCCCAACCTTTGGGCCTCCAGGTGTTTTGCACTTCAGCTCCCATAGTTCCCAACAGCTGATAAGATGGCTGGGATTTCTGGGAGTTGAAGTCCAAAACTCCTGGAGGACCACAAAGGTTGGGAGCCATTGTGAAGGAAGTTGCCTATCTAGTGATTTTATGTGAAAACGGAATGTAATGAGAATGAGTGTAGTTCCGTCTCAGAGAGATAGGCGACAACACAAGGAAGGAGACCTAATTTATTCTATCTCAGTATAGGAGAAGTGTCTTGAATATAAAATGTAAATGTGAACTTTATACTGTTTTACTAGGTTGTCTATACAGGCAGTCCCCGAGTTATAAACATCTGACTTACAAATGACTCAGTTAAGAACGGGGGTGAGACAACAGGAAGTGAGAGAAATCTACCCCATGGAAGGGAAATTTACTCCTGGAAGAGTTATCCTGGGGAAAAGCAGTCTCCACTGAAGCTTTATCACCAATCCTTGTTTCCACAACAAACTACATGTTTCAAAATGCAATTATCACAGGGACAGAAAGGGAGGAGAAATCATCTGAATGTGGGCACAGACAGCAAAACAAGCACCGCAGGAGTGTTAGCTCTTCCCTGAGCGAGCAAAAAAATGTATTTGGCTGGATTTACACTTTTAAAATGTATCTGATCTGACTTACATACAAATTCAACTTAAGAACAAACTTAACTTGAGGACTGCCTATATATCTTATTCACCCTAAATATTTTGAGCCAATTATGAATGGAATTAACTCTAAATATGCATTTAGCAAAGTGCAGAGGTATATGGTTTTCATATAAGAACATACATGAGTAGAATTTGACCACATCAAGTCATAGATGTTCATATTTTCATGCCATCTCTATACTCAATGTATGTACTTAACTCAAACAAAATGAAATTTGTTCTGTAAACACAACTGGTATCTAGGTGCTCATGGCCTTCAGATAGCATGTCCACACTCTCTTATATATGCAAACAGACAAGTGAACATTAGGGGTCATTAGGATGAGATGTCTATGACTTCTTCTAACGCCTTCGTCATCTATCCATTCTTCATCTACTTGGTTCAAGTACTTAGGCTTTGGAGCAGTTGTCCACAAACTATTGGTCATGTTGTCTAGGAATTATTGAATCATTTGGCCAAAATATGGAGTGGGCAGATAGAAGAAGGCTGTTGCAGCTTTTGGGGCAGCAAATTCACTCTCTGTTGTCAGAAGTTTGGAGTTGTATAGGAGCTGTCCAACTATTTCCATCTCAAGTTTGACACCAGGAGACCTCCCATACAACTTGGAGCAGGTGCAGAAGGAGTGGCCATAAAACCAAAAATGGATTTGTCACCCCTACAACAAAGAGGAGTACTTTTTTATGAGGAAGGTCTTGATGAGGAAACGGGTGACCTAAATAAGTCAATCATTTTTCCCCCTTATGGCCTATCCTTCTGCCCATCTATGCCCAGATAGATGAAAACCAGACTCTGTGAAACCTTTGTGTGTCTGAAATTGTGTGATACCCTGTACTGAATTGATCACAACAGTGTTATAATGATTGTTATGTACATAAATGTTCCTGACAAGAAGAACAAAGCAATTCATTGCTAAATAAATAAATAAGAAAGATATCAAGATTTCCTGGAACCACAGGAAAATCAACATTGATATTTTATAGTTGATTTTTCCATGGGAGTGCTTTGCTTTTGTCATGCTAAGGGTACAGGAGGAGAGGTAAAGGCAGGGTGGAATGGGGAACACAAAATGAAAGGGGAGTGTCACTTCATAGTGACATTATTACAACTTTGCCTGTTGGTTATACAGTATGACTCCTCTATCCTTGCAACCAATAGGACCTTTTGTACAAGCCATATCCCCTTATTGGCACTTGTGCCATTCATTCAGGTCAAAAAAATAGGGATCGTTATTATCCACAGTTTCATGTATCCAAGCAAAGTCTGGATACAGATCTGGAGGTTGTACTGTATATGTTTTCCTTATGTTTGATGGTTTTGAAATGTCTTGAAAAATCTGTAACTGCAAAAGCAAAAAGCCCTTGGAAAATGAAAAAGAGGTTCTTCACATACTTCTCAACAGCCAGAAAGTGGTGGTGCCAAGTACCTTTCCAGTTTGGATGAATTAAAACCCATCTGCATGTCACTCCATCATGTCCGAATCCATTATGGAACCATGTATGAGAATACTGAATTGATTTTTGAAGCAACCGAGCCTTAGCCCTTTGTTTTTTTAAAAAAGGTGTATGTTTGTTTCCCTCATGTAGAACGTGCATCTTTAGTCTCTTCGAAGACCCACCTGTGACTGGACCGGTAGTCTTCTGGTTTCCTCTGGCACTAAGCACAGCCAAATGAATCCACACATATTGAAGAGATGCTTCAGCAACCCAACTAAATGAGACATGGTTAAAGGAGCTCTCTCTCACACAGCACTAGGGGAGATAATCAAAAAGCAGTAAGTGGCAAAACCATCAGGCAGTACTGACAGATTTTGCTATGGCTTATTGTGCATTTGCTGCTACAGCTTCACACCTATCCCCCATTCCACCCAAAAGAAGCCATACATGCCATTGATAGCCTCATTTTATACTTTTTTGGCTAGAAAGAGATTTATATAAAAGGACTGCCTCTCCATATGACCCTTTCCCCCTCTATTCCCCCCCTCCATTAATTAACACCCGTGGGTGCTGCCTAACTCTGCCAAATGCTTCCTGTCACAGTTGCCATCATTTACCTCCGCTGCTGAATGATGATGATAATGATGACGATAACAATGTATTGTGACCTAAAGTTAATGTTGCTTGCTGCTCCTTTGCTTGTTACTGTTGAAGAACTTTAATTTTTTTAAAGGAAACTTCAGTAGGCCAAATGTGCAACTAATCTCGGCTGATGACTTCACAATAAGGCAGGCTACCTCAACACCAATAAAATTTTGACATTACCCATGTTCGGTTGTGAGTGTGTATTCTTGACAACTCTTAATATCCAGTAATCAAATCAAAGCAAGCTCAATCTTTTCCCTGCTCTGATGGTAACTTAACACAGTTGTTTAGATCATTCACTTCCTATGAAAAATCGTGGGTCCCTGTGCCAATAAACGAAGAAGGTATTACGGATGGTTAATTCATAGAGCATTTGCATGTTACACAACTGTATTGCTGAGATTCCATGAACCATACATCGAATGAGATTTTGGGTTTACAACGGTGAATGTAAACTGCAATCCCAGGATTCCACAGCTTCATATCTTCACCAAAGGACCCTTTTGCACTGAACAGTTATAGAACTATGAATTCAATTTAAGTGCCATGGAAACAGTCTTTGGAATCCTAGAACAGGTGATTTAGGGAAGTGTGGGAGACTTATCGCATAAGGGAGGTAAACTGGCATTGAAGCAGAGCTCCTTATCCCACAACACCATATGCACCCCACTGCTGGTCTGTCTCCTTCCCATTATCAGCCTTTCTTCCACTATTGATAGGCAAAACTTGTCAAGAACTTCCAGTTCTGCCACATTCCCATCACCTACTTGATGTTGATGAAGCTATTCTGCTTCTGTGTTGACATGCTGGCCTTGAGGTCATATCTTAGGCTAGGATTCACCTGTCTTGCACTATCCTCAGTATCTGTTCCAAAGCTGATTTTTAAAAATTATATATGGATGGTAAAGGTTTCCCCTGACATTAAGTCTAATTGTGTCCAACTCTGGGGGATGTGCTTATCTCTCTAAACCAAAGAGCCAGCGTTGTCTGTAGACACCTCCAAGGTCATGTGGCCAGCATGACTGCATGAAGCATGCATATATATAGACACCAATCACTGTTCTAACTGTATAATTGCATAAAAATAATAATAAAACAATTATAGACAAGTGGAAGTGTAGGAAGGCATGGTTGCAAGGGTATGTGGAAGTACGACCACAGGACGATGGATGGTGATGACACAAATAGAGAGAGGTGCAATAACAAGGGCACTCATACTGGTATTTAATATCACTTCTTGCATGACTGCCATGGAATAGCAGCTTTGTGCAATAAAGCCCTAGAATTCTTCGGTTGAAATGTTTAAGTATCTGTTCCTGTACCGCAAACCCCAATATCCTATAAGACTACAATTGTGCGATGTGAAAGAGCCCATGAAGAGCCCTTATTAACATTGCTTTCTCTCCTCCAAAACAAGCAGAAGTTACAGAAGTTAGACTTATGTCTAATTTGTTTTATATAATCATTGATGTATGGTGATATACAAAGTTGCTCAAATTGCCATTTACTCCCTTGTATGACGAAACCCCTGAAATAGATATCTGCCACAGTACCCTTCAGGCTTTGTGGCATGTCTACCTCCGTCTGCCATGCAACCAGGAAAGCACTACATACTACTCCCAGTCTCTCAGCACTTTAGAAATGTCTGACTTGGAGGGATAACATGCAAGCCTTCAGAGGTAGAAATTTGGAGGATGGCATCAGGAGAAGTCATAGATATCTCTCTGTAGCTGTTCTCCTGATGCAGAATCTTGACTAGTGTTACTGACTCACAAACTACTCCAGTATGCATCTCCTCTTGGCCCATTTTCCAATTACAGGCAGCTCCTGAATTACAAACTTACAAATGACTCATAGTTAAGAATGGGGGCAAAATACTAGGTCTACTCCTCGGAAGGGAAATTCATTCCTGGAATAGTTATCACGGGGAAAAGGTGTCTCCACTGAAGCTTTTTCACTAATCCTTGTTTCCACAACAAGCCAAATTTTTCAAAATCCAGTATTACAGGGGCAGAAAGTGAGGTGAAATCTTCTGAATAAGGACACAACAAAGCAAACACTTCAGGTGTGTTAACCCTTCCCTAACAACTTGGGGAATGCCTGTACTGGGGGAAGTATTCAATCAGTTGGGAGACGTGACTGATGTCAATCTTGTTCCCTCCTCCACATGAAAGTAAGCAGTGGAGGTAGCACAGAAGTAATTTCTACAGCAACAAATAGATTTGACAGGAATTTCCTGCACTAAAGTATCTGACTGTCCAACAGCAAATTGATGAAGACTATTTGCTGAAGACCTCTAGACTATTTAATCGTGTGTCCAGCTCTTGTCAGATTCCGAAGGATCTATCTTGACTTTTGGGAGTGGGAACATCAGAAAATACATTCATATCTCCAGAGTTGGCAGTTTAATAAACATTGGCCTTGCCCAAAGGTGCTCAACCAGTTGTGTTCTCATTTTAGCTGCGATGAGTGATGGTGATGTATGCCTTTCAAGAACTCTGCAGTTGTCACTCTAATACTCCATAACTGTCGATTTCCTTCCTTCCTATTTCCCCATTAATCTCGCTTCTGCCTCTATTCTGAGATGGCCAGAAAATAAAAAGAATACTGTATAAAGAGAAAGCAGCAAATATTTGGGACTTCAGTTCCCACAACATTGCTGAAGCCTGTGGGAGTTGTAAAAAAAAATTAAAAAATCCGGAGGGCCAAAATTTGAGAAACACTGTTAGAAAGCCAAGATATATTAAGAAAGTTAATGTTTGGCCCTTATATTTTATTTCACAGTAGGAAGTTCAATTCTCTGGGCCATTTTGGGTAATAAGTTTTCACTCTGAGTTATCATCCAATTTTTTTTAAAAAGGAACAAAAGGTCCATGCTGTAGGCATTTGGCACATCAATAGCAATGGTTTCCACAGAACAATCCACTTGATCCAAACCTTCCTTTTGCTCCCAAGTTACTTCCTTTATTCTTTTCATGACTGATTGGATGGAATTAAAGAGCGATAGATGAACATATTTCCAGAATAACAATGCAATTCCTGGATACGTTTGATTATTAAGAGTTGAACAAAGCAAGCAGCTCTGGCAGCAAAACAGCATCATTTATTGGACTCTTTGCAACCACAGTTTCAGAAAAGTGGTCCAACAAAATCTTCCCAGTTATTTAAAAGACAAAGAGTTAAATACACACATTGTGACATCTGAATTGTATTTATTTTGGGTGATTCTGACATACAACTGTGGTTTTAGCTGCCACTTCAGAAAAGTCCACCTGAAAGTACCACTGAAATCTATTTTAGTTAGTTAAATATTTTTGGACTTTAATACTGTTTGTGGCAAAATATTGACTACTTGTGCAGCTACTGCGAGAAAATATGGATTGCATTTATGGCTATTATTGTTGGAGTTATATCAGAATTTTTGTTCTAAAACAATTATGTTGAAATATACAAAACTCTGCTGTCACCTTCCATCATGTCGACTTATGATAATCCAATGAAAGAGACCTCGAAGTCACTCTATTATAAACTGCCCTGCTCAAATCTTGTAGACTCAGAGCCATGATTTCCTGGGTTAAATCTATCTGTAATAGACTCTTCTTCTTTTCCTACTGTGTTGTACATAACCAAACATTATTGTCTTTTCTAGTGAGTCATGCTTTGTCATGATGTCTCCAAAGTACAACAGCCTGACATTAGTAATTTTTAGCATTTTATATATCTCTATATTGAAACTTGACTAGTTCCTTCATAACTGGTCTTCCAAATCCTAATTGGATCTCTTAACTACAGCCTTCAGTTCAATTCATAATTAAAGCTAGATATAAAAAAAAATATTTATTTTGTTCCCATAACAGTTCACTTTAAAGTTGTGTAAATTATCAGTAGTGGTCATTTTTGTTATTACAGAAATAGAAATAAACATTAGCTTTTACACTTAGAGGCGTGTCCATTTAAAAAACAAAATTCAGGGATGAGTAAATCTAGGTAACCGTTTTGTATTTATGATGACTACTTAGTCAAAATTATGACACTATTGCTACAATTGTAGCCTTCCCCGCTCCCCCTATTTTACTAGGCACTATCTGTCTGGGGAGAAGGACATCCATTTGTCCTGTGAGTAAGCATGGTTGAATGAAATTTCTGTCAAGTTTTCACTAAAAGCGGTTAACTGAACTTAAACTAAGCCCCCTTCCACACAACTGAATAAAATTCCCTATTTTCTGCTTTGAACTGGATTATATGGCAGTGTGGACTCAAATATTCCAGTTTAAAGAAGATATTGTGCCTTGGTATTCTGGGTTATATGGCTGTGAAGAAGGGTCCTAAGTGACTGAAGTAGAATACCGAGCTGAAATATTGCATAGACAATGCTGTTTCTTCTTTCAAAGAATCATAGCCAAATTTGCTCAGAATAAGTCCCCAACTACAGCATTTTCTGTGCAGGAAACAAAATTTTATGTATAACTTCTGGCTACAACCCAGAAGTGCAAGTCTCCTGAATGATGCTGGTTCGAAAATGTGGATGCAGCAAAAATGTATGCCTCAAGCAATGTTGGTCTTATGCAGCTAGTTTCACACAGGTGGAAAAATATTGAACACATCATGTTTCTTTTCCTCAGACAACTCCAAGGTACATCCCCCCATATTTTTTCTAAGAAAGGCAGGGCAGTATACACGAGATTCTTGCTCTACCCTTAGAACAAGTTAGCGAGTAGGGATCTTTACTCATTTTGTTCTCAAAGGAAACAGCAAGTCATTTTACCTATGTACTTCCCACTGCAAAAACAAACTATGAAAACTACATAGCTTTTGAAGACTATTTGCAATTTGGTACCTAATCTGGGCAAAATTCACATGTAGTTCACAAAATAGCATTTTTCTGTGCATGGAATATTAAGGGAAAGGTGGGAGATATTCCGCAGGGTTGTTGGAAAAAAGGGTGAGTTGTATTATACTTTTTTATTCATCTGTGTTAATGTAGCTGCAAAAGATACACATTTTCAAGGAATATATGTCATCCCTCCATATTTGCAGCAGTTAGGAGTGAAAACTGAAAAGAATAGAATAAGAAAATTACTCTTTTTTTTAACCTGAGAAAACACCTGAGACAATCTCTAGATCTCCAATGAGGGCCCTTCCACACAGCCATATAATCCAGAATATCAAGGCAAA